ATTTTTCCGGAATAATTTCAGAATTTATTTTTGTGTTTTTTTAATAATTCTGTATTTTTCGGAAATGTCTAATAAACAAATATGTAGCATCCAAAAACACTTTCCGGAAAATACAGAATTATTATATATTAATTCTGATTCATTTAAATTCTGTAAATTCTGATTTGTAGTGCTTCACTTCCGGAAAGATTTTCCGGAATAAATTCAGAATTTATATTTGTGTTTTTTTAATAATTCCGTATTTTCTGGAAATGTATTAACAAATAAAACAAATAAACACAACCGGAAAGAAATAAAGCATCCAAAAACATTTTCCGGAAAATACAGAATTATTCCGGAATAATTTCAGAATTTATTTTTCGTGTTTTTTAAAATTTTTGTATTTTCCTGAAAATGTTTTGGTGTTTTCTTCCGGTTGTGTTTGTTTTAATTATTAAAACATTTTCCGGAAAATACACAATTATTGAAACAAATAAACACAACCGGAAAGAAAATACAAAAACATTTTCCGGAAAATACACAAATATTATATATAATTCTGATTTATTTTAATAATAAACACATTGTCTTTTCCTAGAGAAAAAATACAAAATTGTACTATTTATTTACTAATTTTTACATTAATTACAAAAGACAGTTATATTTTATTAAGTGTTCTTTTAATTAGGTTATAGGTTTAAAAAATTTCTTTTTTGATAAAATATTAAAATTTAATAGTACATTGGAGGGGTGAACACCATAAAAATTTTATTTTTCGTCTTTTATAAATACCGCCAAAAATCGCCATTTTTTTGGATAAACGTGTTTTTTATTGAAAGGAGAGAGTAGACTTGAATTTGTCTACCTGTAATAAAAAGGGTATATATAATGATAAATTATGTTATTTTAAATATTAATAATTTGAAGAAAAGATATATCCATTAGAGATCGATTTGAAAAGCCTGGACCTGTTCCTGGACTCTGGAGTTTGATTTATTGACCTGGACTGGGCCTGTAGTAGTCTCAGGAAAAAATCCAAGAAGGCCAAAAAATGCCTGGACTCTTGGTACAGGAAAAGCCCAAGCCTTGGTCTAGGTCCAGCTCGATCTCTAATACCCATCCATCCAGTTTGTTAATTTTTAAAATTATTCTTTAAAATCTTGTCCAATTTTGGCTTCAATAATTTCATCTTCCACTATTTTTAATTATTTTTTCATTGACTGAAAATCCCAGAAAAAAGCCTAGAAAAAATATAAAAAGTCTTGAACCATGTGCTTTCTATAAGGGAGGGGATAAACTAATAATAAAAATAAAAAGAAGATATACTTCCTTTTTTATTTTCACTTTTCTTCCTTTTATGTTTACCTAAAAGGTGAATAAAAAATAAAAATAAAATTGATGATCACTATTAAAATAAAAATCAGGAAGAAGGAAGAATATACTTGTACTTCTTCAAAAAAATATTTTTCTTTTAAACAAATCCAAAAAAGGAAAAAATATTTATTTACTTAAAAACGAACACTTTTTAAAATAAATATGTATACTTTTATTTTTTAAATTTTATTCCTGTTTTTAGAATAAAAATGTTGCTTCTCTTAATATTTTTGTATTTTGTATTTTCGATGAATTCTGGTAAATATATAAATTAAATTCTGATTTTTAAATTGAGGAAAAAACACATTCCGGAAAAGACAAAAACACATAATTCTGCAATAAATGTTTTCCGGAAAGGAATATGATTAAATAAACTTTTTTCAAAATTTTTCCGGAAAACACACATGATTAAATTTTTCCGGAAAACACACATGATTAAATTTTTCCGGAAAACACACATGATTAAATTTTTCCGGAAAACACACATGATTAAATTTTTCCGGAAAACACACATGATTAAATTTTTCCGGAAAACACACATGATTAAATAAACATTTTTCAAAATTTTTCCGGAAAACACAGATTTCCTTAATAAATTTATTCTTAAATTCTGTATTTTCCGGAAATGTTTTATGTAGCTTCTCTCCTTCTTTTTCCTCTTAAAATAAAATTATAATTACTTAAAATAATTTTTTAAAGTAAAATCAACTGTTCTTCACAAAATGGAACAAGAATTGAACAAATTTGATAAATTAAGAGTTAATCCCGACAATTTTGAAAAAATTAAAAATTTACACGAAAATCTTTATTATGGAGCTGTTAAGGCTTTGCTTGGGCAGGTAAAATTTGTTGATGACATTCCGAAAAGAAAAATAAATTCTAAAAAGTTTCCGGAAAATACAAAAATTTTTAGAAAAGAAAACACAAATTCTATAGCTTCCGGAAAAGAATAAAAATATTCCGGAAATCAGTTTTAACAGGAAAACAATTATGATATTTAATTCCGGAAAGTTAACTAGAAAGTTATATTTTCCGGAACAGGTCTATTATGTATTCCGGAAAAGTTGACGATGTATTTTCGATGTATTTTCCGGAAAAGGTTGTTGACATTTTAATTCTGATTTGTGTTTTCCGGAAAACTTGTTGTCATTTTAATTCTGATTTGTGTTTTCCGGAAAACTTGTTGTCATTTTAATTCTGATTTGTGTTTTCCGGAAAACTTGTTGTCATTTTAATTCTGATTTGTGTTTTCCGGAAAACTTGTTGTCATTTTAATTCTGATTTGTGTTTTCCGGAAAACTTGTTGTCATTTTAATTCTGATTTGTGTTTTCCGGAAAACTTGTTGTCATTTTAATTCTGATTTGTGTTTTCCGGAAAACTTGTTGTCATTTTAATTCTGATTTGTGTTTTCCGGAAAACTTGTTGTCATTTTAATTCTGATTTGTGTTTTCCGGAAAAGGTTGTTGACATTTTAATTCTGATTTGTGTTTTCCGGAAAACTTGTTGTCATTTTAATTCTGATTTGTGTTTTCCGGAAAACTTGTTGTCATTTTAATTCTGATTTGTGTTTTCCGGAAAACTTGTTGTCATTTTAATTCTGATTTGTGTTTTCCGGAAAACTTGTTGTCATTTTAATTCTGATTTGTGTTTTCCGGAAAAGGTTGTTGACATTTTAATTCTGATTTGTGTTTTCCGGAAAACTTGTTGTCATTTTAATTCTGATTTGTGTTTTCCGGAAAACTTGTTGTCATTTTAATTCTGATTTGTGTTTTCCGGAAAACTTGTTGTCATTTTAATTCTGATTTGTGTTTTCCGGAAAACTTGTTGTCATTTTAATTCTGATTTGTGTTTTCCGGAAAACTTGTTGTCATTTTAATTCTGATTTGTGTTTTCCGGAAAACTTGTTGTCATTTTAATTCTGATTTGTGTTTTCCGGAAAACTTGTTGTCATTTTAATTCTGATTTGTGTTTTCCGGAAAACTTGTTGTCATTTTAATTCTGATTTGTGTTTTCCGGAAAACTTGTTGTCATTTTAATTCTGATTTGTGTTTTCCGGAAAACTTGTTGTCATTTTAATTCTGATTTGTGTTTTCCGGAAAACTTGTTGTCATTTTAATTCTGATTTGTGTTTTCCGGAAAACTTGTTGTCATTTTAATTCTGATTTGTGTTTTCCGGAAAACTTGTTGTCATTTTAATTCTGATTTGTGTTTTCCGGAAAACTTGTTGTCATTTTAATTCTGATTTGTGTTTTCCGGAAAACTTGTTGTCATTTTAATTCTGATTTGTGTTTTCCGGAAAACTTGTTGTCATTTTAATTCTGATTTGTGTTTTCCGGAAAACTTGTTGTCATTTTAATTCTGATTTGTGTTTTCCGGAAAACTTGTTGTCATTTTAATTCTGATTTGTGTTTTCCGGAAAACTTGTTGTCATTTTAATTCTGATTTGTGTTTTCCGGAAAACTTGTTGTCATTTTAATTCTGATTTGTGTTTTCCGGAAAACTTGTTGTCATTTTAATTCTGATTTGTGTTTTCCGGAAAACTTGTTGTCATTTTAATTCTGATTTGTGTTTTCCGGAAAACTTGTTGTCATTTTAATTCTGATTTGTGTTTTCCGGAAAACTTGTTGTCATTTTAATTCTGATTTGTGTTTTCCGGAAAACTTGTTGTCATTTTAATTCTGATTTGTGTTTTCCGGAAAACTTGTTGTCATTTTAATTCTGATTTGTGTTTTCCGGAAAACTTGTTGTCATTTTAATTCTGATTTGTGTTTTCCGGAATGTTTATATAAAATTCTGATTTATATTAAAACAAAACACAAATTTATTTTTAAAGCTAGGCAAACTCCACTTTAAACAATTACCAGAATATGAACGCCTTAAATTAGCCAAATGTTTGGATAAAATAGAAAATAGATATGACCTCGTTTCCCCTGCAAAATGTTTAATTCAGAGCAGGGATAGGCTTATTTTGCTTCAAAAAGAAGAAAATAAATTAAAAGACCAAATTTATTTTAATTTTGATGACGAAAAAGAAATTTTAAAAAATAATGAGGGTAATAAAAAAATTAAAAAATTGAAATTAATTTTTTAAATTAAAATCCTCCCAGTAATTGTCACATTTGGAGGGATTAAAGTCGCCCAAAAATTACCAAGCAAAAGAATGGAGAAACTTAGAAAGACAGAATTAAAGGCAAGTTTATTTTGCTTAGGTTACTGTATGTTTATAGTAAACAGAAAGCAGAATTATTTAAATAAACCTTCCGGAAATGTTTCCGGAAAGGTAACAAGGTTGGAAAATAAATATAAAAAGTTTCCGGAAAATAAAAATTGTTTAATAAAATTATGTTGGTTACTTCCGGAAAACATTTCCGGAAGGTTTATTTGTTGTATAAGTATGTGGTGTAATGGTTAGTGCGTTTGAGTGGGTGACTATGGGGTTGGGGGTTCGAATCCAGTTGTTGGTAAATCATTTTTTAAAGGTTTCTGATACGACTGGTGACAGTATTTCTTTGTCTTATCACATAAAAAATATTTTTAGAATTTTTTTTGAATAAATTTTAATAATAAAATAGGCAGGAATTTTATACTAAAATTTCTAGCTTCATTTTAATTAAAAAATTTAAAGGATTTTACAAAACATCCACACATGTTAAGTCGAATTTTAATACCTTTAGCACAAATGAGGCTACAAAAATATGGTGGAAATGTTTTAAGACGAAGGGTAAAAAGAGCAAGAATTGAGGAAAAATCAGAAAAAATGATTGGAATTGAGGAGGTTTTTGAATTTAAATTTTGAAAATTGGAAAAAAAATATTAAAGATGAAAAAAATAAGAGAAGAAATACAAAATCAAAGGGAAACAGATCCTAAGGAAAATTTCAAAGTAAATTTTAAAACGATTTTTGAAGGCGGAAAAATTTTCTTTCAAAAGGTTAGAACAGCAAATAATGTTGACCCGTTGTCCAATGGAAAGGAAAATAATTTGGCTGCCAAAGTAGTCTATTTTTTTTAAATTTTTAAAAATTTTGAGTTTACCAGATTTCTAGTCTTCTTGTAAAATCGCTTGGACCTAAAACAAAAAATGCAGATATTAAATGGGCAAAAACGTATAAAACACTACAAAGGCTGTCAGAGCAGATTGAGAGGGGAAAGAACTTTCCAGGCTCTAGTCTCTATGAAAAGCGAATGTTTGTTGAAATTTAGAAAGGGATATAGTGGAAGGATGATTTTACTTACTTCCTCAAAAAATAATTATTCACGAGAACCGTTTTGTTACCTATAGTCTATTCTCAATTGTTCCATACGGACTACCTCTTTTGTAGTGGGCATGTTCCCTACAGACTACCTCTTTTGTAGTGGTTATGTTCCCTACGGACTACCCTCTTTTGTAGTGGTCATGTTCCCTACGGACTACCCTCTTTTGTAGTGGTCATGTTCCTTACGGACTACCCTCATTTGTATGGTCATGTTCCTTACAGACTAACACTTTTCTTCCCTACACATTACCTATGTTCCCTACGGATTACCTTGATTGTTCCTTATGGACTATCTTGAGGATTACCCCTTATGTTCCCTACATGCTACCTCTAAAAACACACTACTCTACAGACTATTTCGAGTCTCTTCTCTCGATAATATTTTACTATCAGAAATTAATTAAATTTTCTATTCCCCACAGGTATGACATTGTATTGGACAGAAGAAACCCTTCTCTAAGTCCAATGGAAAGGGTAATTTGTCAATTTTTATTTTTAAAATAGTAAAATTTAAATAAGAATTCAGCGATCACCTCTTGGTTTGCTTCAACAAGGAATGAAGGTAAAAATTCATTAGAATCCCCTCTAATTTTCCTCTCAATTTTAAAGTTAATTGACTTACTTCCTGGCAATAAAAACAACAAAAAGAATGGGAACGAGACAAACAATGTAAATTTAAACCCTCAAGGTCCTTCAATAAATTTCCTTTTAAGATTCGCCTTTTTAGTCCCAGATTTATGCCTTTAGCGCCAGATAAGGGAGGTCCAGCAAATCCAAAAAGCTTGCTTTCCCCTACCCTTTTTGCAATGTATGACGAGAAGGATAATCACAGCTTTGCAAATGTGCCGGAGGTGGAAAATTATTAAGATTCTGATATACTTTAAGGATAAAAATAAGACTAAATGACTCGTTCAGATGATGAGAAAAGCAGGAGTCCCAGAAAAATACCGTCAGTCAATAATTGCAACATTAATGGAACTTACTGGAACTACAGAGTAAAGAAAAAATAAATTTTATTGAGTAAAAATAAATTTAAATTAAAGTCATTTGGAAAAAGCTTTCAATCTTTTAAAGAAAGTTGACTTTTTTGATGAAGGTAAATAATTATTAATTAAATTTAAATAATTCCGTCTAGTATAAAATAGAAATAAAATACAAAAGAAAATTCTGATTTGTTAATTGTAAAAGAGAAAAACACAAAAATATTCTGATAACTGACGGAAAATACAAATCAGAATTCTGATTTATTAAAAGGAAAAACACAAAAAAATAAACTTGAATTAAATAAATAAACTTATTCTGAACAAGTTTTTATTAATTCTGAGAAATACAAAAATCAGAATTACAACTTGTTTAAAAGAAATACATAGAAAACACAGAAATTTAATTCTGATTTACTAAAAAGGAATAAAAATACAAAAATACAAATCAGAATTCTGATTTTTTAATTACGGAATAAAGCACCTAAAATTCTGATTTTTATAATTTAAATAAATAAAATACAAAAGGTGTCGGCCATCCAATAATGAAGGCTACAGATAAGCTTTTGAACAAGTAAAGAATTTTTGTAAAATAAAAAAAATTTATTTATTCTTTTAAAAACAGCTTTTTTAATCTGGAAGACTCATTAGACAAACGGCAAAGATTTGAATTTAAAGAGAAAGGATTTACTTTTGGAAAAAAAAGTCAATTGTTGAAAATATATAGGGACGATCAGAGTAATTGGGAATTAAATTGTTAAAAAATTCCAAAAAAAATTTTAAAGGCCAACAAAAACTTTTGCCAGACTCAGAATTAGACCGGTTTGATAGATACGAAAAAATGAGTGAATCAGAAAAAGAATTGGCCTTATGGGAAACTATAAGAGAACTGGCTGAAGGAAGGGCTATTAGTTTAGCTAATGCTTCTAAAATTGTTTGTATTTTTTAAAATAATTATTAAAATAAAACACAAGTTTAATAAGCATTTGTGAAAATACAAAAATCAGAATTTTATTTAAACAAGGAAAATACTTTTAAAATACAAAATACTGATTATACTAAAAAGGGAAAACACAAATTAATTCTGATTTTGAAAAATAAACTTGTTCTGATTTAACACAAAAACACAAATTAATTCTGAAATTAATTCTGATTTAATAAATAAACTTGAAAATAAACTTGAATTAAATAAATAAACTTATTCTGAACAAGTTTATTAATTGATTCTGATTTAAATAAACTTTTTTTATATAAACAGCCAGAAGATCACCAACAACAACATCAACGCACAAAACGTTTTTCTACAACTGTTTTTTCTCCTATAATTTTATCACCTTTCCATTTTGCCCCATTCTTTGGGCTTTCAGTTTTCGGGCCTGTTATACTCTCACCAAGCACTTTCTCTCGTAATTTAAAAATTATTTTTAATTTATTTTTTAATAATTTTAAAGCTTACATTTTGAGCCCTAGTGTGTAAGTTTATAACAAGAAATTATTTTTTTAATTAATTTTTTTAAATTTAAAATTCCAGTTTCTCACCTTTAATTCTCTCACCTCTAGTATTCAGGCAACTTTTAAAAATAAAAAAAAATAATTTAAAATAAAATTTTTTTCAGCCCTTTACTACTCAGTCCAAGTGTGTAAGTGAATCTATTCTGATTTTTATTTACCGTATTTTCTCGATTAATTCCCCTGGGGAATTAATTTTTCAACTTATCTCTGGCAGGGGGAATTAATCGAGGGAGGGGAATTATTCGAGGGAGGGGAATTATTGTTTCAACTCATTCCTGAATTTAAAAAAGTATGAAGTTTTGCATTCTGTTTTCTTAATTTATTTATTTACTATTTCATTATATTCCCCATCATGGATCCATATAACTTGCATGTGGTTACTAAGTTCTTTATGTACTCGAAAATGTGTGTATTAGGACTATAGTACCACATGAGGGGTCATTGTATGATACGATACTAAGGGATATATGTATATTATATCACCACGTATGGAACCATATAAACTTACCTGCTTTATATATTATTTTTTGTACTATCCCATTATTTTAATTAAATTTCGTCTCCTTCGAATATATCTTCTGATATCCCTTTAATCCTCTGATATTTCCTGATTACGTTTAAATCTATTGCTATCCTCTAATACTCCGTTATCCTTAAATCCTATACCTTGATATTCCAGCTGTTAAATACTACTACTTTGATCCATGTCTAATTTTTAGGAGAGGGAAAAAAGGAGAAGAAAAATAAAATTGTGTAATTCTTTTGAGAGAGGGGAATTATTCGAGTTTTGAGGGAGGGGAATTATTCGAGGGAGGGGAATTATTGTTTCAACCTTTCTCTGGCAGGGGGAATTAATCGAGAGGGGGAATTATTCGAGGGAGGGGAATTAATCGAGAAAATACGGTAATTATATTCTGAATTTATTTTGAAGTGCCTCTCCTTGGATTATAACTCCAGGCGTCGGAAATCCTTATATTCTTAGGTAAAAAAATAATTTTAAAATCAGAATTTAGAAATTAAAATTAACAGAATATTAAAAGAAGAAAACACAATAATAAAACTTGAAATTCTGATTTAATTATTCAAGTTGTATTTTTTTTCTAAAATTCTGATTTGTAATAAAAACACATCAGAATTAAAGAAAAACACATCAGAATTTCAAGTTGTATTTTTTGTGTTTAAGAGAATGAAATACAAATCAGAATTTTAATTAAACTTGAAATTCTGGTTTTAATTATCCAAGTTGTATTTTTCTTAGGAAAATACAAATCAGAATTTTCTACTACAAATACAAATTAAATCAGAATTTCAAGTTGTATTTTTTGTTTAAAAGAAGAAAACACAAATCAGAATTTCAATTAAACTTGAAATTGGTTTGTATTTTCCAAGTTGTATTTTTATCAATATTCTGGTTTTAATTAAAAAGAAAACACAAAATCAGAATTTATTTTACCAAAAATACAAATTATATCAGAATTTCAAGTTGTATTTTTTTTGTTTAATTTGTATTTTTTTTTGTATTTTTCAAAATTCTGATTTTATATTATTTCAAAAACACAAATTAATTAAAATCAGAATTAATTTACAGTCCTTACGTTTTTGGTCCTTTCATCCTCGGACCTCTTGTTCTTCATCCTTTTATCTTATCGCCGTTTGTTTAAAAATTAATATTTTTTAAATTAATTTTTAAATTAAAGTTATGTGTTGTCTCCGAACATATTAAATCCTTATGTTCTCTCACCCATTATTTTAAACCCTATAGCTCTTTCTCCCGACATTTTGTCTCCACAAGGTAGGAAGAATTTTTCTTCAAATTTTTCAAAAAAATTTTTTTATACAAAATTAAAAAAAAAATTATTTTATGAAGCAAATTACCTTAAAAATTAATTTTATTTAAAATTAAAGTCCTTGGTGGTGCAATTCTTTCTCCAGGAATACTCTCACCTGCAATCTTCACTCAAACCTATTTTATGGGTTTTTAAGTTTAAATAAAATATTAAAAAAATTTTTTTAACAAAGTGAGCCTTTTTTCGCCAACATTCCTCTCATAACACTCAAATAAAATGAAGCTGAGAATAAATTATTAAAAAAAGAAATTCAGGAGATTTATTGTATAATGAAGAATAATGTAGTATTTCTATTAGAGTTCGACATTTTTAAATTGCCGGGTCTGGTATCCATGTGTTTTTTTTATACTGCCCCGGGCCATGTTTTCCAGGTCAAACCCGTAAAAACATGAAGAGCTGGATTTTATCATAATATCCCGGTCTCTTTGAGCTTAGACCCGGTCGGGAGCAGGCTAACGTACCGCCGAGCTATAACCTCGTTCAGAATTGTCGAATCCTGGACTCCTTGATATGGTTCGATGAATCTCGCCGAGCTGAATCGAACCATATCAGTGTGTCTGGATTTTACTATTTTGAACGAAGTTGTAGCTCTGAGGTTTGGTGGATTGTACTCGACCCGGCCCGATGTCGGATTCTTATTTTTATTATATTTATAATTTATTTATTTTTCCATTCAAAAAAAAAATTTTTTTGACTTAAAAAACCATTAAAATTTTTCTTAAAATTCATCTTTTTTTTTAACTCGTTTATTTTCAAAAATAAAAAATCTCGGCATTTTTTCTTCTTCTCGCCAGCTGTCAGTCACCTCCTCCTCCCCCTTCTCTCCCTTTCAACCCTTCCCGCTCCTCCTTTCAGGCCTTTTAACATTTTTAAATTGTAAAGGGATTCGCTGTCGTCAATCAAGTATACACTTACACCGATTGGCTTTTGTGAAGCTTTTTGGAAGCTTTTATTTCCCCCTCCCCTCATTTTTGTGGGCAAAAGAAGAGAATAAATGCTTTATTCCCTCCAATAAAAAAATTAATAAAAATAAAATTTGCATAATTTCTAGTAAATTGGATAAATAAGAACAATAAAAGAAAGAATCTTTTTTTTATTTTTTAAATGCCGCTTTTTGAGTGTGAAATATATTTATTATTTAATTTTTAAATTTGTAAAAGTTTTTAATTAATAAATTATTCTGATTTTTTTAAAAACCAGAATATTCTGGTATTTATTCTGGTACTTTAAAAATTATAATAATTAAAATTCTGGTTTTGTTGTGTGTTTTATTTTGTAAAAACACAAACTTGGTTTCTGTCAAGTTTTAAGTTTTATAAAACACAAGTTTGTGTAAAAACACAAACTTTGTTTCTGTCAAGTTTTAAGTTTTATAAAACACAAGTTTGTGTAAAAACACAAACTTTGTTTCTGTCAAGTTTTAAGTTTTATAAAACACAAGTTTGTGTAAAAACACAAACACAAACTTACCAGAATAAATATCAAAATTTAAGTTTGCAAACTTGAAATTCTGATATGAATAAAAATATATTTCTGATTTATTTCGCAAACTTGAATTTTTAATTCTTTTCCCCAAATAATATTCTGAAAATTAGAATTCTGATTTTTAATTTTAAATTCTGGTTTTTCGTGATTTTAAATTCTGGTTTTTAATTCTGATTTTTAATTTTAAATTCTGGTTTTTAATTCTGATTTTTAATTTTAAATTCTGGTTTTTCGTGATTTAGGTTTCTTTTTTATTTTATTTGTTGATATTCCCTCTTAAATTTTTTTTCAATTAAATAAAAAATCCAACACCTTTTCCTTCCTATCCAATACAAAAAAATGTGTTGGATCCCTTTTGTTTTTGTCTAAATATATTTATTTAATCGTCAATTACCCCCTTCATTTTCCCTTTAATCAAACACACCTTCCCGCCTTTTTATCCATTTTTAATGCTTTTTCCTTTTAAATAAGGTCCCCAAAATGGGGAATTAAAAACGTTTTTTTGTAGAAAAGTCATTCCCCCAGAGAGGATAAAAAATATAAAAGTGTCACGTCCATCATTTACAAAACCAGGAAATGTAAAAAACGGAAATACTTGAGGAGAATAAATATCAGAATTTTAAGGTTGCGAAGGAATTTTTTTTTTCAGAAATTTCAGAATAAAATCAGAATTTTACTTTCGAGAATGAGAATTTTAAGTTTGCGAACGAATATTTTTCTGAAAAAATTTTTTAGAATTTTTCCCAGAAAAAAAATTCTGCATTTAAAAAGTTAGACTAATATGCCCGAAGGAATTTTTTTCAGAATAAAATCAGAATTTTAATTTACAACTCAGTTAGTATCAGAATAAATAGAACAATCCCGAGTCTGCAAAATGGATATTTTTCAGAATAAAATTTTCATAATTTTTTTCAGACCTTTCAGAATTTTGAAATTCAAACTCTTTCAGATTCCAAAATTTTTCAAAATTTGTCAGAACATTTTTTTCAGAACAATTTCTGAATTTCAAAATTCAGACTAATTAATATAGAATAACTAATTATTATTTTTAATCAGAATTTTAAGTTTGCGAAAATAAAAAAATAAAAATAAATTTTCAGAATGCCTTCCTTAAGGTACACGTTTTACTTCTTAACTCATTCCACATTTGACTTCGTATCAAATAAAAAAATTTTAAAAAATTTAGAAAAAATTAGCGATGCGCGAATTAAAATTAAAAATCTCTCCCATTTATTTTCCCCTTAAAATAAATAAATATAAATAAAATAGCAAAATTTTCTTTTTTCTTTTTAACACCCTAAGGGATTAAAATTTATACTATAGGCCTAAAACTGACACTTTTATAAAACAATTCTTCTTCATTTCCTTTACACAAGTCTCTCTTCTCTCCCTCTCCCCTGTTAAGCCCTCAAGTATTCTGTGCTTTTTGGGAGGGAGGAAAAGTCGGGGGGCATTCTTCAATCTTTTTGAATTATTTTAAAAAGAATAATGCGAAAATAAAAATAAAGAAAAATTGCTAGAGGCGGTTAGAAAGACTTGGCACGAGCCGTTGACATGGTAGTTGAGTAGGGGTATTTTGGGGGTAAAAGAAAAAATCAAGCTTGAAGATTACCAAGTTTTAAAATTTAAGACG